GACTAGATCTACCGGTCCGAGATTCACCATTGAGAGATATTAAAAACGGGGAAATTATGAATTCCTAAGGCTGAGACAGGCAAAGTCAGTCCACTGGTCCGGTATTCTTCAATCTTACCGAGACCATATTTATATAATACACACCATTTTACTGGTTGTGGGCCTGAACATGGATCACTATAGAGGGCCTCTTTTTCCCTTGGTGCGTCGGCTAAGTTTCCATTTGCCTCTTATCCCGCATTTTCTTGCTCCTGGGCACCAAGGATCTTTGGCGGAGACTACTCTTTTTCATCTGAGAGGATTGCTCTCTTACAAAGTGTAATCCATCTTCATTCTGTACTTTTAAATCTGGGAGGGTTTGCTCTTTCATGAAAGCTAGCTGCGATCTTTTTTGTGTATTTTCTTTTCATCTGGGAGGATTTGCTCATTCATATATTATGTATTAATAGTAAACTCTTTTCTGTACTCTTTTTTTCATCAGGATTGCATCAAACTGTTTTTATAGAGGCTTCCAGTTACCATCCATGGAGACGACATTTGACCAGGCCATTATCTTTCTTCCATGTTGTTGGAACTGGTTCTTCTATGCACATTATAAGACTAAAACTTTACAGTAAACGATGGTGCAGTTAGCTCCAGCTGCCGACACACCACAACAGAGTAAGACGTCTGTGGCTGTGAAAACTTTTATATCTGGAGGTGAGTTGTTCTACAATTATCTTGCTTTTTATAATTTTTATTGTCTGTGCAGTGTTTCATACACGCTTTTTTCTTAACATTTATTAAAAGCAATTTTTATGATTACTCTCTAAGAGTTGATGTGTTGTTTTGTATATTGCACCTCTGGAATTTAACAAATTATGATTATGGACTACCCATTCCAAATGGTGGTTGGGGAGGGGGAGTAGAGATTTGCGGTGGGGCTTGTATGAAGGATGTCGGAGTAGCCTACAGTTGGAAGAGGAGGGTAAATTTTTGCATTGTGTGATGATTTTGACTTTGTTTTTTGTTGTGTGTGGGGAAATAAAGTACAGGAATTTGTCAATATTTGTTGCAGCAACTATTTTGAAGATCATGCTTTCTGTCATTGCAGGTATTGCTGGATGCTGTGCCAAGACTGCTGTGGCCCCTCTAGACAGAGTCAAGATCTTGCTCCAAGTTCACAATGAACATTACAAACACTTAGGTAAACTTGCAAAAGTTATAAGATACAAGTGGGTGGCCTTTAATGGTACTGGGTTCTTAGTTATCTATCATTTGACCACCGCACTTAATGCATCTTGTTTAGTTAGTTGTTTTTGCCCTATAAAAACTTAAAAAACCACTATGGTTGATTTTATATAGATCTATTTTTTGAATACAAGAGGTTGATCATTTGAAGACTTCTAAATACTGATGATGCAGTGCGCCTGTGCCTGTTTTCCATTATAGTTATTAGCCTACTGTTCTTTTTCTTTTTAAATGATAAATCGGTTTTTAGTATTTTTTATGAAAATGCGTGTGTGGAGTGGGTCTATGCTTTGTTTAATGAAATAAATTAATATAATACTGGTGTTTAATACAAAACATTCTCGCGTTATAAATAATGTTGTTGATCCCACCACTCAGAATCATGATGTCCTTTCCATGCAGGGGTGTTTTCTACAGTGAAACATGTCATCAAGAAAGAGGGAGTCCTGGGATTGTACCAAGGCAATGGGGTGCAGATGATGAGGATCTTCCCTTATGCTGCCATTCAGTTTTTAAGTTACGAGCACTTGAAACAGGCAAGCTTCTACATCCATCTTTTTAAAATATTTTTGAGAGTTCCTTTTTATTTCCTGATCAGTATATATATCACAGCTTTGCTGTATTTTTGTTGACGGAAATGTCTTGTTTTGTGATTTAATGTGTAATTAAAAAAATTTCTAACTTAAGATTTATTAAACATTGCAGCCGTCGGCCAAAGGCATGTAATGTCTTGAATGTCATTGTAAAGGTTGTATTTTGTTGTAATTAATACAGTGTTTTCGAGGGGCTGGTTATCATTTTCTGGCATGAAGGCCATCTCATTGACGGCGAGTCAACTAGTTGATACTCTGCAAATTCAAAGTTTTACAGTCAAATAACAGACAAACACAATCATTCGATGGTGTGCACATTGAGTAGTTATGTGTACTTTGTGCTGTTTGTAATGAACTCAAAGCAGTATTTTGCTGACTGTAAAATAATATGGTCAAAGGCCATTATAATAGAATGATGAATGAATTAAAAGGATTATAGTGGACATGTTAACAAACAGAAATGAATAAATATTTTTTTTTGCCCTGATGTTTTCACCAAAGTTCTAGTTTGATGACACTTATTTTGTTTATTTTTAAAATGAATTAGTCAAGTAAGAAGTATCAGCTTCGTAGCTTGAAGTAAGTTATATATACCTTGTGGAATGTAAAAAATTGAATGAAACACAAACTGATGTTTTATGTTCATGCTTATTTTGTATGTACAGCATGTCTGAACTGAAGTCATATGGGTCTACATATTTTGTCAAAGTTTTGATGTAATTTTTGTAATTATGACTGGGGTTTATTTCATTGTTTACATATTGATTGCTTTCCCTTGACAGTGCAGTTCATAATTGCCTTTGCTTATTTTTCACTAGGCTGCAAAGAATGTGCCATTCCTTCACCACTCTCCACATCTGACGAAGCTGATCTGTGGCTCCCTAGCCGGTAAGTGAGGAGTCAAAAGTATCTTTTGGTTTTGTGCACCTGGTAATTTAACCTTTCTGTAGAATGGAATAATACTTGGTCAGTTTTCAATTTTTCTTTCCTGTGGTTGGAATTGTTTTGAATTCATAGACTGGCTGTCCAGATTGTAGTAAATTTAATGCTAAGTACTAATTAATGTTGATTTTTTAACTTTATGCTCTTTGTATTTTATGGCTGGTAATGGTGAGGAAATAGGTACCTTGTGGCATGTACTATGAACTTCTGAATGAAGACAAGATGAATATAAAGTAATATCTGTAGACTCTCTTTGTTGATATTATGCATAGTGAACATTTACTGGCTAATTGTTTCTAAGTTGGTTTTTAATGTTATTAGCCGGTGATAGATCCAGGATTTAATCTGTTTATGGACTATATTTTTCTTCCCCTTCTTTGAGATTTTTGTGTGTGACTCTGTGTTCTGTTTTTGGGGACCTGGTGGTATGGTATTAATTCCCCTGTCAACATTGTGAGGTCATTATTAAAGAGGGGAGACCTCTGATTTTAACATCTGCCTCAGATGGGACATAACCTAGAAGGGGGAGCTATTCTTTTTAACTTTCCAAACAATCCAAGTCAGAGAATGCCAGCAAGAGGTTTGAACTGGGGTCATCTGCCTGACAGTCCAGCTTGATATCACATGAGCTTGTGGCCCATCCTCCTAGTGCTTTGCTTCGGAAAATAACTATTTCTGACAATACTTTTCTTGCGGAAGTGAAGAAGAATATTCGTTTCAGTTTCTGTTTTTGCCTTGTCTGCTTTAATTTTTTCCCCTTCCTTTATGCTGGGTAAGCATTATTATTTATACTGTTAGAGGAGTTGTCCATTGGTAAAGAAGTTGCTTGTATCCTCTGAATTTGTATACTTTTTCAGGTCTGACGGCTGTCATCATCACGTACCCTTTGGATATAATACGTGCCCGTCTGGCGTTTCAAGTCAAGGGGGAAGCAATTTACAGTGGAGTCATGCACACTGTGAAAAGCATTCGACACCTGGAGGGTGGCACCAGAGGGCTGTATCAAGGCATTGTGCCCACCTTCCTTGGCATGGCCCCTTATGCTGGTGAGAGTGGTGTAAAGGTTGATAAGTTCAGGCTCACCAACTGCCCCTAATTTCCTGAGAACCGAAGCTTTGAATACGTGTAGATCTAGGGTTAGGTTCTTCATGAAATAAATCGTATCACATACTTACTTACTTTTTTCTTCTGCTTATACCGGTGGGTGTCGCGGGGAGACACAATCGTCTGTCTGCAAGGCAAGTGGTCTGTAGAAAGGACATCCCGTGAGCTCTGAGGATGTATATGAGCCATTGCCAAAACGTAAGACTCTCTTGAGACTCAGTGGTGCAAAAAAATTTTTATTATCGATTTGACCCCCTTTTCTGTCAGTCACAGATTGACATTTAGTGCTCATATTCCAAGAGTATCAGAGCAAGGAGATTTAGGGTTTTGGAGATATGGGTCTATTAGTTTGGGAACCACTGTATATATCTTTTGTGTAACAGTGATGACAAAAACAGATAAGCAGCAAGGCAAATTATAGACTTTAAATTCCTTTTGTTTAGTAAACAAAGACTTTGTACACAATGAACTCCATTCATAATGGTAATATGAATGACAAGCATTGTAACAATAGCACAGTGCACGGAACATGTCATCATTGTTATGTACAAGAATGGATACGCATTGGACATTATCATTTACAACACATCACAATAGTGAAAGGCTGTACAAATACAGTTATTAAAGCCTCAGCACCAGAAAAACACATGTGTAAAACAATTTTTAAACTAATATGAGGCAAAAGCACAAAATCAATGGGGCTTACTTGTACATAACAGTGATGACAAACATGACTTGTACATAACAATGATGACACAAATCTACAGGAAAAGAAAAAGTCATGCCTCCAGAGAGAAATGTGTACTTAAAGAATAAAAAAAACCCAGGAGAGTTCTTTTTTTGCTTTGAAACAGATATCAGGTCATATCAAAGACCGTTGACAATCACTACTATGTTGCTAATTATGACAAACAGTACTGGGACATAACAGTGATGACAAAACATACTTGGAAAAGGTAAAATCATGCCTACAAAGAACAAATTTGCACTATGAGATACCCAGATCAATAAAAGCGTATTTTACTTCTAAAGTCTAAAGGAATCTTGCATGTATGAAATATATGTTGAAAACTTATTGAAATTAGCAATGATGACATATATTACTTGTACATAGCAATGATGACACAATGTATTGGAAAAGGGCATATCATACCAACAAAGAACAAATGTGTACTTTTGAGTTAGACAGATAAACAAGGACATATTTGTTTATTTGTTTGAGTAAAGAGAGCATACATGACATAAAAAATGTTTGCTCTTAGGACAATGTAATTTCTAGTACGTCAGTCTGTCTAATACAGCAGCATGACGACACCCAAAACGTCATCACTAAGCACAAAAGTTAAATCTATAACCACAGAAATGACCCATCTCTCGAAGTTTGTTCGCACATCACACTCTTGTTCCAGGAATCCAATGTAAACTCCGCAATTTCACTAAAATATTCAACAGGGTAGCCTAAAAACACGCAAAACAGTCCAGTACGTCACATTCAATGTAAGATTCTTGTGCTTCATCGAACACTGACGGCAATGACTACTTTCATTTTTCTCTTTCCGCCGTTGCTTCCGCTGTTCTGGGGATGCGGGTAAGGGGAAGTCACTCGAGAAAACAATTATATCCGGGCACTTTTGATGATCCGTTCAAAACAAAAGTGGGCAAAAATTCGGACTTCCGGTGCGTCGCAAGGTGACGACGATCATGGCGACCGAAATTGTAGATCTAGGAATCCCGATGTTCCTTTCACGCATCACAGCTTTTGAAGTATTGAATAAACGACGAAAAGCAAAAAGATTGAACCAGCTATGGTGATTCTACTGAAAAATAATGGTGTTTTCACCTAGTTCATGACGACATGACAAACGCTCAAGTGATCTGAACTATTAGTTTATTTGCAAACAAATAAACCGATTTCTTGAGCTAGTGAACCTTTCTCAATGACAAATATCATAGGATCTAAGCACACGTTTAAAAAAAAAAATCCAAAAATACTAAATTTTGGACATTCTTGGAAGTTTGCATTGGTGTGCTCAAAATGACAGTCCAGGAATCACAAAAAAAAAGAACATTTTTGGCACAAAATTTACAAACTCAAGATTGTAAAGGTGACACGTGGTCTGACCCTGCTAATGCAGGTTCTACATCCTATATTTGATAAGTGTATAAGTTTTGGAGGAATAAATACTAATGCATCACATTTTATGCATGCTAATGTGAGATGTATGTGTTTTTCCCACGTGTTGGCAATGGCTCATATATCACACATACTACGCCAATAGTAGTCCATCTTGATGTAAATGTCTTAGTTGTTTTAAAATCTGAGTTATATATTAATATTGGGTGTTCCTAATAGGTTTTTGGGAAAGTTAGCAAGTCTGATATGTTACTGATCAGCTCCTCAGCCGACAAAAGGATCTTATTTGTATACAGATGCTATAAATGTACAGAATGACACTCGCCTGCCTCCGGGTATGTGAATTTTACTTTTTAGGATGTGATGAACTCCCTGTTATACTGTGTCTTGGTCTTGCGTCAACAGGTCTTTCCTTCAGCAGTTTTGAGATGCTGAAAAATCTGGCCTTGGACGTGTTCCCTGACCTACTGGGCAAACCATGTCCTCAAAACACTGGGGGGCTCGTTCTCATCCTGCCCGCAAAGCTCATCTGTGGTGGTCTTGCTGGGGCCATCGCTCAGACCATTTCGTGAGTTGTTGCTCCCTCAGGGGTTAAAAAAAAAAAGAAGAGTAGAAAAGGTTATGAGCTTTGGAGGAGGCTGCACAGGCCATATTTTATAGCATTTTGATAGTGGGAAACTGTATTCAGAAATTGATTTATTTATTGAATATTTTGAGTGTTTTTACACTGTGCGCCTCTGGGAAAATAATGCTCCCATCTAAGTGTAAGACAAATTCTGAAATGAGGAGCTTACTTGTGCATATAAGTGTCCACTTGTGCCTTGTTTAAATAATTTTAGCTGAATGCAGCCAGACAGTTTTTTTCCTATAAATATGATACTGGAAAAAGAATGGATTTTGTTTTTGTACCTAATTTAAGTCGTGTTATATGACTTTGGTCAGTGATGTCAATTTGGCAACAGCATGTTGGGAAAGCTATGCAATGTTCTGTAACTACGAATAAGTTTTTGAGTCATTGTAAGTTTCTGTCAAGACAGGGGGGATCAAATTTCAGTAAAATGACCATATGAATGATTGACCTGCTATTAATTCTGAATTATAATAATGTACATACTTGTCTTTACATCTTTCTGTCTCTCTCTCTCTTTCTCTCTCTCTCTCTGTCTCTCTCTCTGTCTCTCTCTCTCTCTCTCTCTCTCTCTGT